TCACTGATAGTCATACTCACTTTGCAATACATATATATAGATAAAGTGCTGTTCAATAAAAGTGACTAACCTTATGCAATGAATTTAGCTCAACTTTCGCTTCATCGGAGAAGAGAACCTTCTTCCAGTCTTCTACGGTGAATTTTTTTGTAATAGTGCCCATTCATATCTCTTGGCTTTGTTGGCTTTGCTTATTAGCGGCTTAAACCTTCGTGTACAAGATTTGTTGCCTTGATCTAACAAGATTTGTAACCTAACAAGACTAACACCTTGCTTTTCGCTTAGAATGGCTGCAATATCTAGACTAGTTATAGTCCTATTCTTCGCAACTTCTGTCTTGATTACCCTGCCAGTTCTATCATCAATCTTTTTCTTTCGTCCCCTTGTTTCCTTCCATGGAGCAGGTGTGGCATCATTATGTGCCCTAATCCTTCGAAAGACAGTTGATTGTGAGGTTATAGCAATTTCTCTTGTAGACTTGCCTGCTTTTGAGAGGACAATAATAGATGCCTTAAGTGCTTTTGATGCGTGTTTGTACCCTTTCATCTGGTTAGTGCCTCGAGTGGCTATTTCAAGCTGTTTTTATACTGTATGAGGCTTTCTGGAATATTCTGGAATACTCTTAATTTAAGCTGTTCTAGAATTCTCTAGAATATTGTTCTGAGTGTATGGTAAAATAGATTTCAGTATTTTGTCAAAAGCTCATTAAATTTACCAGTTTAATCATTAGAATGCGATATCTGAGCGACTTCTTTTTCACGGTTTTTTCCTTAATCTCATTTATATCCAAATTTATAATTATCAATAGAATACCTTAGGGTGAATAAACTGTTTTTCTAGGTGGTCGGGAAAGGGTCTTTATATTAGTAAGATTAAAAATTATTTTAACCCCCAAAATAATAGACAAAAAATATTTTTAGTAAAAAAAAATCAGGTGAGTCACTTTTATACAACATATATATATATATATATATATATATATATATATATATATATATATATATATATATATAATAAAATAGCTGGCATTTTACACTTTTATTCATGGTCCTAAATTTGTATTCCATTGAATTATAAATTACGATCTTTTTAATTAGATATTTGAATATAATTGGGAAACCTGAACAGAAAAAAATTCAACTCCGAATTAAAAATAGTTTCAATTTAGAGAGGTTTATTTTTGGGAGTTTTGTCTTTGTTTATTTTCTCTCTCATTTGCATATTTATTTTATTTCTGTAACAGGGGTAACCAAATATGTATATTTTAATATTAACATAAACTGAATTTTGCATAAAAGAACATTTTTTTTAAATTACCATTTGAAAATTATCTTATCTATCTGTCTGTCTAAGAAAAAAAAATCTATTTATTTATCTATTCTAAAAAAATATATTTGTTGAGCTATATATATCTTATATATATATATATTTTTTTTTTTTTTTTTTTGTGTGGTGGGTACCAAAAAAAATACCAAAGAATTCCCTAAACATTATTATATATATATATATATATATATATAATATATAAATAAATATATATATTTTTATATATATATATGGATATCATGAATGCTGAAAAAAAATAACAAAAATATTAAAGAACAATTTAAGATTTACCTAACGAATTTTTTTCCTATATATTTTCAAACACACACATATATATATATAATTGGCAACTGTGAATGTCTGTGTATGTGTGTGTGTCCTTCCTGGTGTGTTTGTGTGTGTGTGTGTATAAGAACAAGAACCTAACACATTTATATATGTTTGCATCTAATATATACAAATTTAATTAAAAAGAGGTAATAAATGGTGACAATTTGATGTAGAATTTTTGCCATTTTTTCTAAATGTTTGATGGACGTCTGTATCTTGATTTAGGGATAAATTTTTATTTTTTTGATGAACATGTTTGTTGTATTTTATATATATATATATATATAAATATATAAATATATATTTATATATATATAAATATATATATATATAAAAAGAGATCCTTTAAAAATATTTTCTTGGTTCTTATCAATTTAGGCAGTTTATATATACATTTATATATACTATTTCCAGAGATAAATGATATAACCATGTACAAATGAGGAGAAAAAATAGATGGAGTAAAATTTTTTATGTTCGCAACGTTTGCTTTTTGGGAATGGCTCAATACAAAGTAGAGTAATATATTATTATTATTATATATTTATTATAAGAGTTTGTAATACAAATCATGCTTATTTCAACATTTGAAAATGTTTTTATTATCCCTTATAATAAAAATTTCAACAGGTTTTTCCACATCAACATATTTTTATAATAATAATAATAATAATAATAATAATAGAGAGAAAGAGAGAGAGAGAGAGGAGGAGAGAGAGAGAGAAGGAGAGAGAGAATTATGAAATGATTTTCCCATGATTTTCTCGTCATTTTGGTTTTTTTAGGCCAAATCCAATTTTGGTAAAACGCTGCATACAATTTATTAACATATCATATTAAAAAT